CCCAACCTTCCTTCTGAGGAGTGGCTGGTGGGTTTGAACCTCCAGCCTTCTGGTTAGCAGTCAAATGCCTTAGGCACTATGCCACCAGAGCTCCTACTAATTGTCCCAGCCCATATATATTCCAAAGTATGAAAGTAGGCCTTCCCAGTCCCTTAGGAATACATGCCTCCAAAGTCAATGGTGGGTGCCTACAAGTAATTTACAACCCATCACTCAGTAAGACCATCCCTTCATCTTTGATCCTTAGAATCCCATTTGTGCTAAGAACTACGTGAATTATGTCCCACACATCATTAGAGAACCAGTGATGCCCTGTTAAGTTCCATACAGGGGGACAGCATGATGTTCTTCCAACACATTCTGACCCTAGCAGTCTAGGTTGCTCTATGGAGCCTGGCTTGAGCTCCACTCAACATTCCTCTCTGTGGAAGTGCTTCTCCTGTAGACAATTCTGGAGGAGAGGCATGTGGTGCTTCAGAATAGCAACTTTGATGTTGTCTAAGGGAGCTGGTACACTCAGGATAGATTGCCAGGGTGCTCCCACTCAGGACGAGGCACAGAGATTTTTAGCACCTGCCTGATTTCAGGCTCCCAGGTGGCAAGCTTCTGTGTATGCAACACCACTGCTGTCCCTTGCCTAGGAAAGTACCAGGTGATCGAGGGCATCATCTCCCCTGTCAATGACAAATACAAGAAGAAAGATCTCGTGGTGGCCCGCCACCGGGTGGCCATGGCCCGGCTGGCCCTGCAGACATCCGACTGGATCCGAGTGGATGCCTGGGAGAGTGAGCAGCCACAGTGGATGGAGACGGTGAAGGTGCTGAGGTAAGATGGGCGTCCTCTCGTGTGATAAGCCAGGGGAAGCATCTGCACAGCCCAAGAGTGAAAGGTAGGGCCTGAGGACTGCGTTGGGCTTCACCCAAGCCTTCTCACCCAAAACCAAGAAATATTTCACCTTTGGGCAAGACACAGATAGATTCCCATTCTCAGAATGGTCCCTGAGCACAAAAAGTTACAAACCAGTGCCTTCTAGCCCAGGATCAGGACACACTTTGTGGAAATACCCACTCTTGTTTGCTAAGGGCTGTAGCATTAGGGCTCCAGGGCCACCACTTACTACCTATGCAATTCTGGGCAAGTGACTTAACTTCTCTGAGACACATTTTCATTTGCAAAATGAAGATAGTCCACCCTAATGAGGATTAAAAATGTAAATAACTTCTCAGGTGATCCAGACCGCATAATAATATTTAGGAAAGAGGATTTTTTATTATTATGTCATCATGGCCTAGGTTGAAAACTGCATTTAGATAATAAGCCATCTTTTCTAGTTGTACAAATCCTGGGTACTACAAATTCAGACTTTTATTTAAAATAGGAAAAAAAAAAAAAAAGCAGACTACGCGTCTAAAAATAGTTATTCAGGATTTTTTTTTTTCTTTTGGAATTGCTATTAGTGTTCAGCATTAGTGATGTAACTTTAGAAGACCCTGCATCGTAGGGCGACATGTTACTGATTTGTGTCTGGGAACCTTTAAAGGGAGGTTACCGGAGAAGCCAGGAGGTCCCATCTGTGGGATCCACAAGCCCACTGCCCCCAGCTGTCAGAGCTGTGATTTGGGCCAGGCCCACCTGTCACAAATGAAACCAGCTCTGCTTGAAGGGACTGCAAACTGTGGCCCATGTCTTTAGTCTTTTTTGAAACACTAGGATTGTTGGGGAATGGGAGGTACAAGGAACCAGGTCAAATAATTGGCAGCCCTCTTCATAATCTGTTTTTCACTTTTCACTTATCCTCAGAGTCACTTGTGAGTGACTTAACCTTTAATTTCCCAGTCGTGGTTCTTATTATTTAACTTTTACTGTGGAAAGAACTGATTGGAAGCATTCAGCAGTCACAGGGTTTCTTCAGAACCTATTGTCAACTTAAAAGCAGAACAAGTATGAAATAATTGTTTAGTATGCATGTTGCCTTTTTTTTTTAACCACCCATTGGTATAAGCAAAAAATCTTACAATGGAAGTTATATAAAAAATAAATTGACACCTAGATTATCCTTTTAGGATGAGACATATAGTCATCTCTCATTTATCTAGGCTAATGGGAAGAGATAGAAGCAAAGCAATAGATAATCCAACAAGTCATTGAGTTTTGTTTGATATGTAGTCAGAAACAGACATTTTTTTCTCTGCCACCCTGTGAAAGGCAGGGTGGCCTGGGGCACAGGCTTTGGAGCCAAATTTACTAGGCAAGTGACATGTCCTAAGTGATTTAGCCTCCCTGGGCCTCAATTCCTCACCTAATAAGACAAGGATGACATCACCTTCTTCATTGGAATGCTCTGCAAATTAAATGAGATGATGTCGGCAAAACAGCTGTTTTATGGTAAGTGCTTAATAATGTTAGCTACCTTCCACGCATCCCTAATATTGGCTCATAATTTATCCTCAAAACAGAGAAGCCATTCATAGATAAATAGAAGCTGACCCCAGTACTACGTAATGTGACTAGTGTGTCTGCTGCAAAATGCAAGGGTGAGCTAATATTTTCACTGACCGTATTTTTTCTTTTTCTTTCTTCCTTTTTTTTTTTAATGTTTTAATGTCCTCTCAGTCCAGTGCTTCTCAATGTTGGCTGCACCCTGGTATTGCCCAGGGAGCTTTTAAAAGTACTGATGTTTGGGGCTCACAGAGAGACCAGATATAATTGGCTGGGGTGGGGTGTCATTGGGAATTTTAAGAGCTCCCCTGGGAATTCTAATGTATGGCCAGGGTTGAGCCCCACAGTCTCTGACATGAACTGTTTTAAATCAGGCTTATTATTGGTGCTGAGATCCATCCAAACCAGTGTTCTCAACCTGGCTGTAAGACTCACCTAGGAAGCTTTTTAAAAATTCTCACCTCCTAGACATTCTGATCAATCTGGGGTAGGCATAGGTTTGTTGTTGTTTTTAAATGTCCCTAGATGATATATTTTTTGCAACCATGCTTGAGATGTTATAAATATTCAACACAATTGTGTAAGACAGCTCATTAAGAATTTTTTCATTATTTAGAGTGAGCTTCATCTCCAAAATGTATCCATTGCATTATAAAATTTGTTTAACTACTAGTGTTTTCTTAAAATGATCAAATGCATTCTTTAAGATATTAAAAATCTGGTTAAAATTGTAGTCAGATGGTTTTAGAAACATGGTAGAAATCTTCCCCGCCTTTTGCTCCACTTAGTAGCCTCTTGATAGGGTCACAGACACTACATAGTGTGACATTGATGTAAATTGTGTCTTAGTGATGTCAGTGTCATTTTGATGTAAACTAGCCATGGGGTGAATTCAGAATTCTCTTTTTCCATATCAGGTTGCTTATTTTTACTTTTTTTTTTTTTTTTAAATCTAGGCCAACTTTCATCCTTTAAAAGCTTTCATGCTTTTGATAACATTTCATTCAGTTCTTCCCCATGTTTGGGTGAGGGGCTTGGTCATAATGTCATTTGAAGTGATCCATCGCCATCATCATTCTCTCGTGTATCCTCATATTGTCCTCATTTTATAAATGAGAAAAGTAAAGCTCAGAGAGGCTTAGTTAATCAAGGGCCCACTACAAGTAAGAGCCCCAGTCTGTTGGACACCAGAGCCATGTTTAAAAATGGGAATTCCATGTGAGTAACTTTGCTTTTGCCGTAGTGACCCTCTGATAGGTCTTCCCTGGAGGTCAGTAAAACTGCTGAGGTCATAGATAATAGGTTCTCAGGTCAGTTCTCAAGGCCTGGGTACCAGGGTAACATTCAGACAGACAAGAAGAGCAGAGGCCTCTGTCTCCACAAAGGCAGAGTGGAAGTCTGTGAGGAAAATGCATTTGGTATGAGAGTAATCATTTGCACACCAAAGCTCAGAGATACAGCGAATAATATTCAAAGAAGGATTGACTTGAATTAGGAGCTTCAAAGTAAGTAAAATAAAAATGACAAGTACTACCTTTTATTCATTGCTTACTATATGTGAAAATGCCAGGCTCTTTCACATTTATGATGTCTAGTCCACTCAGCATCTCTGAGTGATAGGTGGGTTTAGCCCCATTTTACAGGAAACAGAGGCTCTGAAGAAGGTTAATAACATACTCAAATTCTACAGTTAGTAAGTGGAAGTGAGACTCAAACCTACCTCAATCTGACGCTGAAGCCAGACCAGCCCAGAAGTGCATCCTCAGAAGTAAAGTTCAACAAAACCGAGCAGTAAGACAGACAGTAATGGAAACAACCAGAGTCCAGCTAGGCCCTAAGAAGACTCAGCTGCTGAGTGAGGCAATTAGGAGGGACTTTAGATTTGAGCTAAATGTACTTATTCATCCACTCCTGCCATTCCTGCATTCAGCAGACTTCAGTGGGTCATTTCTCTGGGTACTTAGAAGCCATGAAGATGAATAAAATGGATGCCTCTTCATAGTCAGCAGTGGGAATGGGTCAGGGTGGTGGAAAAGATTGAGTAATGATAATGATAACAACTAATTTTGTTGGGCACTTTTTGTGTATAGGTTAGTGCTAAGCTTTTTATGTGCATCACCTCACATAAGAGTAGATACTCTGATTATCCCCATTTTACAATATGAGAAAACTGGAGGCGAATTGCATAAGAAGCCCACCCAAGATTCCATAGCTACTACTTGGAACCAGAATTCCAACCCAGACAGTCTAATTCTAGACCTTAACCTTTGCACTGCACCCCCTCCCATAATCAGCATTGGGCTGCTTCCCCAGCATTTTACGGGGAAGAAGCATGTTCTCATTAATGATCTTGGGCTCCTTAGTATAGATAAGGGTGCTGTTAATTTTCATACCCAGTTAACATGAGCTCATTGAGGCTTCAAGGATGTTAGTGACTTTTCCATGGTCATACAAGCAGTGAAGCCTGAACTGGAACCCACTCACTCTTGGCTGCAAAGCACATTCTTTTTCCACTAGGCACTGCTGACTCCCCAATACCACTCTTAGTAGATTCAGTAAGTGGGAGATAGAAGATCAAATTGATAGGAAAAAGGGCATATAGTGATTACTTGTTTCTGTTTAAAAAAAAAAAAAGAAGAAGAAGGTATAGTATCTCTTCCTTTGCAGAAGATAGATTGCTAAAAAGCTGGGCAGGCCAAAATGGTATTCAGTGTAATCCTATTTTAAATGGTAACATTGAATGAGCACCGTGCAATGTACTTTGTGTGTATTAAGTCTTTTAATTTTCACATCTACCATTGGAGGTGGCTACTGTCATTGTTCCTCATTTTGCAGATGAGAAGACAGAGACCTGAAATGACCAGGGACACACAGCAACCACTAGGAGAGCTGGCACTCAATCCAATCTGACTCCAAAATCCTGACAATTGGCCTTCATCCTACTGAGTTCTAAATTACTAGCTTATAACCTTTGAGAGTTACCTGTGGGCCACATACTATGCCAGTGCTTAATGTATATTAGCTCATTTTCCTTCACAAAAGTCTAAAAAAGTAGGTGTTATTATCCCAACTTTACAAGTGAAAAACCGAGGCTCTAAGAAGGAGAAGATGGTCTGTGTGTATGTCACACAATGAGGAAATGCGGAACTATTTTCACTCAGTTCTGTCAGATTCTAATTGCCCATGCCCTTAACTGCTCCTCAACACTGACTCCCTTTATTAGAAAGTGAAAAGGATTAAAAGAAAATGTTAAGAGTGGACTTACGCACATTTCTCTGCTTCCCCATGGGTCTCTCAGAAGGCAGTGAACTGTCTTGAGCAGGACACTCCATGAGGACCCAGGCAGCATCTGCTTTCCACCCCAGCACCTAGCACAGTGCCTGCCACATAGGAAGTCCTCCACAAATATTTGGGGAATGAGTGAATAGAATCAGGTTGAGACTTAAAATCCAAGAGCCCCTGGATGGCTGGGGGCTGGAGGATGGACACAGCCTGAACCCTACATTTACAACACAGGCATCACCACAGTGAACTGCTCCTCCGATCCCAGTCCCAGACGGAAGGCCCTGGTGACAAGGCATTCTCCCCAGCCCCTGCAGGTGAGTGCTGACCCTCTTGTCTATAGAAGGTGAGATAGCTGTCAGGCATTCTTGTGGGAACTAGGGCGACAACAGCCATGAGGACTTAAGCCCAGCCCTCTGGGCCCAGATAAGGAATCAGGCCTGCCTGGTTGAATGACACTTGGGAAACTGAAAGGTCAGATTAGGCAACTCACCACCACCACCACCCCCTTGTAAATTATTATACTAATTTGGTACTTCCTGCTCCAAATGAGCTTACCTTCCCTTGTGATTTGTGCTTGTGACATGGATTACAGGGATAAACTGCTGAAGTGATGCTAGGATTCTTTTAAAAGCCTCAGCGTTTTAAATGTGACATTGAAACACTTCACCAGAGAGAATAACCCTGTATAGCCATTCTGTAGACATTTCATACAATGGTTTATGAAAACAGATGAGGAAACTTGTTTTTAAGGACTTTAAAGCCAATTTGGATTATGCTCTTAATTTATAACCCTGGGTTTTTACCCTGTTGTCAACTCCTAGTGTTTGGTGGAATCTTGTTGCTATGACATCAGGTCACTCTACCTTTTTTAATGGCCACTCTGGTGCCCAGGGCCAGAGGCACAGATTTCAGAATTCCAAGATTCCAGCAGGCCAGTCTGCAGGGCCTCCCACTGCGGGGCCTCCCATCTTTGATTGGTGGGATAAAACATCCAGATCAGAAGGGTTTGGGAAAGCCAAAGTTAAACAAACCTAAACTAATTTCTTTACTGCAGGACTTTTCAGAGACTTTACTGTGTCCAGGAAGTTCTGGTGGCATAGTGCCTAAGGCATTTGACTGCTAACCAGAAAGCTGGCAGTTCAAACCCACCAGCCACTCCTCGGAAGGAACATTGGGCAATCTACTTCTGTAGAGATACAGCCTCAGAAACCCAAAGAGGGGTTGCTATTGAGTCGGATCCAACTCCACTGCAGTGAGTTTGGTTGTTTTTTTTTGTTTGTTTTTTGTTTTTTTTAAACTGTGTCCATGTGCATTGTGACTCTGTAAGAAAGACAAATAGCCTATAGAGATTCTCATAACTTTTGGATCGTGGAATCTTTTTTTAATGCATATTTCTCAGACTTAGTGTTCCCCAGAACACTGACTGGAAAACGCTCTTCTAAAAGGACTTGAAAATGCCACCAAAAGGCTGAAGTTTTATGAAATGCACTGAAGCAACTGTCCCCAAAGGCTGGTCAAAGAACCACCCACAGGGACTTGTTAAAACACTAATTCTCAAGCCATTCCTCAGACCTCCTGAATGGGCGTGGGGGTCTAGGAATCCAGATTTTTAATAAGTACTCTGGGGATTAGAAGGAGCTCTGGTGGAATAGTGCCTAATCCATGTGACTGCTAACCAGAAGGTTAGTGGTTCAAACCCTAGCCACTCCAACAAAGGAAAATGAAGCAATCTACTTTGGTAAAGATTTACCACCTTGGAAACCCCGTGGAAACACATGGCATACTATGAGTCAGTATCGACTCAATGGCAATGGGTTTGGTTCAGTTTGTTCTTGGGGTTGGCTTTATAGATAGTTTGGGGAACTATGCATTGGAGTAGGGATCTAAGAGAGGAGTTATAAAGTCTTCTCTATAATCTACTTGTGTAGTGTTCATTATCTTCCTTTGGTCTCTCTGTCTCTTCTCCACTGCCTACATGGACTCCTTCTCATCTGACCCCCGTTCATGACATATCCCTGGTGTTCCATCCTTCTCTCTGTATCATCTCTGCCTCGGCAGTCCTTCCCCACCCTGAGCATCTTCCTGGACCAGGCTCTGGACTCATGACTCAAGCTGAGAGCAGAGACAACTAGCCCAGCCCCTGACCAGAGCTGAGGAAACCAGCCCCTGAATGGTGGGAAGCCAGGCACTGTGATTAGGAAGGCTTCTGGGAGGAGAGGACCCTTGCACCAGGACTAGTAGGACAAGACAAGTAGGTTATCTGGGGCTGGGGTCATTTCAGAACAGAGGGGCAGCCTGAGTAAAGCAGGAAATAGGAATAGCTTCACCACTTTGCAGATACTTTCAGAATCCCAGCTCTTTGCCTTCTCCCCAACTCTTACTTTCCTCCCCAGTGGGGCTCAGTCAGAACCCACTTTCCCTGTGAAACTGGCCCCAGCTGCCTTCATTATTTTGGGCTCTCTCCTTCTTCCAAGGCTTACTTCACATCATGTTTCTAGTGGCTCTTACCCTACTCTGCTTGGCACTATAATGTTAAGGTTTGCCCCTTATCTCCTCCCCTTTCTCTCTGTTCAGTCCCTAAATCCTACTCATTTTGTTCTCTTCTAAAGCAATTGGTGAAAAAAAAAATATATAAGTGATAAAGCTGAGCTGCTCTGCCATACTTGGTTAGAGGCACTGAGTCCATATCTCTCTATACTTCCTTAAGTAACTTCTCTGAAATCCTCACTGAGTCTGAGCTATTCAAAAATCACTTATTGAAATATATTCAAAATTGCTGTCACTAGGTCCTTGGTGATGTGAATGGTTAAAGGCTGGGCTATTAACTAAAAGGTTGAGGTTCAGATCCACTCAGAGACACCTCAGAAGAAAGGCCTGGTGACCTGCTTCCAGAAGGTCACAGCCATGTAAAGCTATAGAGCACAATGGTAGTCTGCAAGACGTGGGGTCACCATGAGTCAGAATTGACTCAGTAGCAAGTGGTTGGATAAAGTTTAGTCCAGGGGCCAGCAAACTACATCCCATAGTCCAAATTCATCCCAATGCTTGTTTATTTAAATAAATTTTTACAATGAAATACTACCATGCTCATTTGATTGCTATGGCTGTTGTGCTACAACTGTAGAGTTGAAAAGTTGTGAAAGAGACCGTATGACCCACAAACCCTGAATATTCACTATCTGGCTCTTTATCAGAAAAGTTTGCCTCCCCCTGCTTTAATCTCTAGTCTAGAACTCCTATGTTATTCTTAGAAAAGTTCTTATGACTTTATAAGATTAGTATATTATGTTTTTGGGTTTTTTTTTTTTGCAACACTTTATACTTGTTACTTCATGGATATCATTTTTAATAATGGTTGATTCATTGTACATAATTCTGGGTTTAATAATTTGTAATTTTAATATTATTATGTCTTAGAATAAGCAAAACTATGTAAATGATTCTTCCTATAGAAAATTAAAGTGTAAATAGTAGTAGCATATATATGGACAACATCGTGGATACTCATTAGAGTTTCTATGGTTTCACAAATTCCTTAAAATATGTTGTACATGAAAACATCCCCAAAATTGGGAATTTTTGATAGAAAAATATTTTTCTCTTACTCATTCTTTTTAAGAAACTATTTGGACTGTCAGTGGTGGTAGTTTTTGATGCTGCGAATGTTGTCTTATCAGTTGTGCATCATTAGCATTATGGGAAATTACTCTCTTGTTTTTCACAAATAAAATGGGTTGGAAATTCAGACAATAAATAAATAAGAGAAAGTAGGCCTTTCTATTTATCAAAATATATCAGGGCTTTAAAAATGTTCATGTCGTTTGATCAATAAGCACTCCTTTGGAATCTGGCTAAGGAAATCATTAGAAATTGAGACAATGATTTATGCAGAAATCACAGCAGTCTTTACAGTGGCACAAAAGCAAGCCCAATATTTAGGCATAAAACAAAAACCAAAAACCAAACTCACTGCCGTTGAGTGGATTCTGACTCATAGAGAACCTCATTGCGTTTCCGAGACAGTATCACAACGGAAGTAGATTGCCCAATCTTCCTCCCGCTGAGAGGCTGGTGGGTTTGAAGTGCCAACCTTCTGGTTAGCAGTCGAATGCCTTAGGCACTGTGCTACCAGTTCTCCTTTATTTAAACATAAGGCATGTTTAAGTCAATTATACTGCATACAGAGGATGAAGAATCTACACAGAACATTTTCCTGATATGGAGAAATGTTTATGAAGTGTGGAACAATGAGGATACAATATTGTTCTAGTTTCAAGTATGTAAAAATATGTGAATATACTTTCATATGTATTTGCATGTTAAGAAAATACACCAAGAGGAAGTTCTGGCAAGATGGCGGACTAGGCAGAAAGACTGCACAGACCCTCTTCAACGAAGAAAAGGGAAACTAATTAACACAGACACAGAAGATAATCTTGGACCACTGAGCCTTGAAGGGAAGGATA